ACATGAATCTCTCGCCCCCGACATACAAAGCAATAGCAATGTTAAAACGAAGTAAACTGGATATAAACTCTCCAAACAGGCGAAAAAACTATCAGTTTCACCCACTGTCTCTGCCACCTCCCTCCATGCCTGGTTCCTCCGGTTTGTATCCCGGTAAATAGTTCCGGTCGTAAAGAACCGGGTGATTTGCTACTGTAATATCTCGTTTGGAATATGAGGAAATGAACTGCGGTCTGGCTCTCCCAGCTTGCACGCGGTTTGATTGGCTGCGCTTGCACTGGCGGGATTTGCATAAACGGGATTTGATTGGCTGATGCCAAGCATCGAGCCTCAAAAGTTGAACATTGTTCAACTTTGGATGCCGATAGATGCTCGTGATGCTTGCAAAGCCATGCCATGCTCCCCACAATGCAGTTCGGCGAAGATTAAGAATCTTCTACGTCACCCCATTCAAGTAAATGGGCGAAGCGTTGAAAGCATTTTTTGATGCCTGTAGTGTAGACGTACCGTTAGGTGTGAATGCACCCTAAAAGAAGGGTTCTAGCTCCTGTGTTATCTGAAATCGCCATACTAACTTTTCTTCTTCTTGTAGTTTGTTCGTTTTGTTGTTATGTTTCTTCTTGTTCTTCATTTGTTGTTTAAGGGTGGCTGGCAAACAGCTTTTAGGCGCAATACCGCCCCCTGGATTATAAATAGTGTAATGGATACTGCCCTGAATGACAGACTTTTTTCCCACAAAAAAGGCGTATTCGTCGTGTGACTGTATGTGCCGAACCGTGACGTCCGAACCGTGACGATACGGGACGAATACGGATACCGTTACACCCCTAAATTGCACACATTTTCTTTTAATAAACACTGAAAATGGGTCCCACAGACCCAAACAGCACACAAAGGTTAAAGGTTGGAATATAATAATGTTAAAATGTGATAAATATATACACTGCAAAAAACAAAGTAAAAGTAGCCCCCGACTTGTTTTATTTTTTGAAAGTAGTTATCCTAAAAAAGGTTGCTGACCCCTGCAATAGGGTCTTCGCCGACCTCTGGTCTCAGACCCTAGTAATCGGATCAATATCAATAAGCGATTAAATTGATCCTACGGATATCAAGCATGCGAGTTGCAGTCACGTGACTGGGCTCGCGCGGACTAGCTGCGCGAGCGATTACAATAGGGTCTTTGCCGACCTCTGGTCTCAGACCCTAATAATAACATCAATAACGGTGTTGCTGTGTTGCAGGTTCTCTCTGCTGAAGGGTAAGCTGGCCTCAGGTGTGAGCACATTCAACAGAGGACCTGAAGGACTGGAGGCTAAAATCGTCCTCATTAACACGTGAGTCCCTTTAAAAATAAAACACCTAATCACTGTCGACCTGTAATTATTATTTATTATTTATCTATTATTTTCAAACAGATTCTGGGTTTTATCAGCACTAATGATAATTTTAATAATAATGATATTTTTAATGTAAAAGATAAATAATTGTAATAATAATAATAATTAAAGAAAATCATAATAATTATTTAAATTCCAATATGTTGTGTGTCTCAGGCTGTACAACATGCGTGTGGAGGACGTGTGCGATGTCGACTGGGACGAGGTCGCTCATACTGTCGGGTGAGGTCATCATTTCAAACTGTCACCCACTCATACAGAGCTGGTAACCAAGGTGACCAGGTGATAACCATGGTAACAAGGTCTCTCCTTACTGTGTGTGTGTGTGTGTGTGTGTGTGTGTGTGTGTGTGTGTGTGTGTGTGTGTGTGTGTGTGTGTGTGTGTGTGTGTGTGTGTGTGTGTGTGTGTGTGTGTTTCAGGAAGGTGACTCCTGTCTGTGTTCAGAAGAGTTTCCACAGACTGAAGGTTTCCAGAGTTCCTCACTGGAGCGGCCTGTTCTACGGAGGTACTGCTATACACCTGAGTACTACAGTAATACTACTAATATACTAGGGAGAACTACAGTAATACTGCTGATGACTACACTAATACTGCTGAGTACCCTAGTATATATCACTGTTAGATACATCTACTGCTAACACCTTCAGTCATAAACTTATAACTATGGCTTTCGGCAAAGAGAGGATGTTGTCAGGCGGCGTTTCCACCCTGAATCACCACTGCCCATCCTCCCCTGGCTTCCAGCTTCCAGCACAACTCCTCCCGTCTGTTCCAGAGCTAACAAGAGCTCTTTCCGCTGCCTCCCCCAACCTATGAGCAACTGTATTCAGCTCCCTTCCTGCTAGTCCCAGAGCTGTGAGCATCTTTCACACTGATTGCACCGGGAAGCCCCTGCAGCCAACTTTAACTGGATATAGCCAGGTCTGCTACCCTTTGTCCATGCATTGATGGACCAGGTCCTGGTACTTTTTGGCTTAACCCTCCTTTCTGAGGCCTCTTCGCACCTGTATTTTAAAGGGGCTGTCAGCTCAATAATGATGATCTTCCTCCTCCGACCATATGACCATGTCAGGCCTCATGGGTTTTACACTCCTCTTCAATGGCTGTGCGAAGTTGTTGGATGTTGGCAGGAACTGTAACAAACTGTCGTATACACTGATCAAGAGCATCCCTAACATGCTCAATGGGTGACATGTCCGGTAAGGAAGCAGGTCATGCAAGAACTGGGATGTTTTCAGCTTGAATTGTGTACAGATCCTTGCAACATGGGGTCGTTCATTATCATGCTGCAATATGAGGTGATTGTGGATGATGTATGGCACAACAACGGGCCTCAGGATCTCGTCACGGTAACTCTGTGCATTCAAAATGCCATCAAAAAAATACACCTGTGTTCGTTGTCCGTAACCTACACCTGCTCATACCACAACCCCACACCCACCATGGGCCACTCGATTCACAACGTTGACCTCAGCAAACCGCTCACGCACATGTCTGCCATCTTGCCTGTACAGTGAAAACCGGGATTCACAGAGAAGAGAACACCTTTCCAAAGTTCCAGACGCCAACGAAGGTAAGCATTTGCCCACTCAAGTCAGTTACCACAACGAACTGCAGTCAGGTCAGGACCCCGGAGATGACGATAGCATGCAGATGGGATCCCCTGATGTGGTTAAATGTGGTCTGTGGTTGTGAGGCCAGTTGGATGTACTCGGGAACGCCTTTGGAGACGGCTCTAACGCCTTTTCAGCATCCAAGGAAATAACACACTCAGGAACTGAATCAGAGGGAGAGTACAAAATATTAAATAAACGACGTGTATTGAAATATGATTGGCGGTTTTTGACAAAACCAGTTTAGTCTTCTGAGACAATTGTTGGCAAGATGTTCTCCAATCTTCGGGCCAGAACTTTAGCCAGAATTTTGGCATCAACGTTTAATAAAGAGATAGGCCTATAGGAGGAACATTCAATCTGGACTTTACCTTTCTTTGCAATAAGAATGATGGTTGCTTCATAAAATTATAAGGGAAGTTTGCCTTGTTTGAAAGATTCTGACAGAACTAAACTGAGTTCAGGAGAAATCAGTGAAGAGAACGTTTTGAAGAACTCTGCAGGGAACCCGTCGGGTCCTGGATATTTTCCAGACTTTAGGGGGAGGAGATAGCTATAGCTATTTCAGCTTGCGAAATAGGCTCCTCCAGTCATACACTATGTTCAGTAGAGATTTTGGGGAGGCTTAAGTTGTTTAAGAAACCTTCCATCAAATTGTTATGATTGTGAAATTCAGAAGAGTAGAGCCTAGAATACAAGTTCCTGAACGTGTCATTAATGGCGGTGTGGCCTGAGGTGATACTGCCATCCTCCTTGGCAATTTGAGTTATGAATTGCTTAGCCTTGTATTTTCTCAACTGATTAGCCAGCAGCTTACCAGATTTTTCCCCATGACCATAAAACCAACTTTACTTCTTTACAAGTTCAATTGGATGTGTCGAAAAGAGATCAAATTCAGTTTGTACAGATGTAGCACTGCATTTCAGACTCCAGCTTACAGCTTCCTGCCTACGACCTGCCAAAGACCAGTATAGAGGAATGTTAAGCCCTCCCACTATTTTCCAAGAGGGCGTTGCCAGATTTTCAATTTCAGGTTTTAACCAGGAGATGGCGCTTCATTCACAAATACAGAAAGACAAGTTTCGTGGACTTTCAGTTGTGTTTTGAAGAGCATTTGAACACATCAATATTTCAGATCAACTAAAGTATATCTAATCTTGTAATTCAATAATATATAGTCTTTATATATTAAATAATCATAATTATTATGTAAATGTTTACATTACACTTCTTTATTTGTTATGCTCATACTTTTACCTTTACAATCGTTTGCTTTAATATGCAGTATATTTTTTGTATATTTTTGTGTTTGCTTCCTCCTGCTCCCTTTCGGACACATACTGTATGATTTATTATTATTATTAATGTGAAGATATTTTTAAGATAAGATAAGATAAGATGTTACTTTATTGATTGAACATTTTAGTTTAGAATGTGCTGTCCCACGGTAATTCAGAAGGCTCACAGGTCACATTCCGACCATTATTTAAAACAATAGGTGCTTTCACACCGTCTACAGTTTGATTTGTATAGAGGGAGCTCTGTGGCTG